ACCCCCAATAACGGAGAATCACATGGACATGCATGGATAATAAATTGAAAAGTTAAATGGAAACCGGAGGTAGATAGGATAGAAATAAGGGGAAAATTGGGATAATAGAAAAGAACACGGAAACTACAATAACAGGTTATATAGGGTTTAGGGGTTAGCCTCCAGTGGTGAAAAGGTTCGGGCTTTATGGTTTTTGGCTTGGGCTTCATGCCTTGACAGAGGCCGAGGCTACTTGGAGGATTATAGTTGCTTTGACAAGCAAATTTCATCAAAGTCTTGATGAGGGCTCACGTTCAAGTTTCACCATCTTGTGTCAATATCGCGGAGCAACAAGGATTCTTTTTTATCGAGACTTCCGCTGTCAGGGGCATGTAGAGCTGTGCGCGCGATCTCCACATATCCCCGACATGATCCCTGCAATCGCAAGCAAGCGATTTCCTGGAGGCCAAGACTGCAAGCTCTGCCTCGTACACTTCCTTCTCTGCGCTCGCTGCGGGTGGCGCTGTGGCAGCTGCAGCGGTGGCTTCCAGCCGCCCAGGTGGGTAGCTTGAGATTTCCTTGGCCTCGACTGGAGACCTTTGATTGTGCCTAGAAATGTATGTCGTGCTCTTGGACGTGGGTGGGCCTGAACTCGGAGAGGTCTGAAAGTGTTATCAGGAGTATCAGCACAGAGAAACCACTCGATCAAGCTGCCTCCCCCCGTTATCGACGTGAGGACTCCTGCATTAGATTCATAGCATCAAGTTGATGCTCCCAAACGCAGCCAGCATGGCATGTACGTGCAAGAGCCATCATGTTGTGATAGTCCCAAGGAAAAAAGTGCATGTTCCACAGGGATGAGGCATTGACAGCATTGTTTGTCAAGGAATAGTTGGTTCAGAGATCGGGGCGTCTAAGCGGTTGAACGTTTTTCAAATGAGTCCTCAGAACAAACTGCAGTAGACGAACTTCAGGGCTACCTCCCGCATCTCAAGCGAGGCTGCATTCATCCAAATCAGAAGTCGGTCGATGATGGTTATATATGAGCTATAGTCTAAACTCCTTAAAGGGATTATATAGGGGATTATATAGGGGAGTATTATAGGGCTTATTAAGGGGGATACTAGGAGTTTAGACAATGGCTCATATGGTTATTGTTGGAAATCGTTCGAGAGTGTGCTGCACACTCTTAGCCTTGGAGGGGTGGGAGAGGGCAATTTTCACCTGCGCATCCGGAGGCCGCCAGACCCGAAGCTCGGTTCTTCCCACGACCGTGGTGCCTGTCAAGGACTCTGATTGGTCGTGCCGACAGCTCACCCTTAGCCAGATGGCCAAATGAACCTCGAGTATTTGAGGGAGACATATGTTCGCCTTTGTGCCAGGGAACCGTATCCTAAGTATGGATATGTAGGAGCGACTAATCATGGGTCATGCTCACCCATAAAGTTTCCAAAGTTGTGATCACGACGGTACATGTCGATGAGGCATCAAGTCTGACGCTGTGGGAGGCCCGATACACCAGCAGAACGATGTAATGGCGTGTTCTGAGTATTTTATGTGCTTTTCCTCTCAGCTTGCAGTTCCCGTTTTGCAGAGCAGGAGAGCCGCGTGACCCGCAAGGCGCTGGATCAGTCCAGCCGATATGCCGACCTGTCTCTTGATGAGGCCACGTTGGTCAAGATCCCCGGCTGATCAAAGCCATGGGTAGAAGCATGCAGCCCCAAAAGTCTGAGCAGGACTTGATAGGACTTGTATGATTTTGCTTTTGCGTACTGGCTGCAACATGCTGTACAGGTGTCATGGGGTACAAGTAGGAGCCCAAAGTCCCAGCCTGTGAAGCACAGTGGACCCTTGCCTGCTGGAAGGGTTTCTAAGTTCTAGATCGGCAAACTACAGCTCCAGCTAGATCTGTCGGCAAGGAATGGCAAGCACGTCCTGGTGGCCTACATCATGAAGCCCAAGGCGGGCTACGACTACCTGGCCACGGCTG